TGAAATTAAGTGGTAAAATTTGTTTTGCTAGGAAGAAGGATTTAGTATGAGAATCGGGTTTGAGGTTAAAAATTAAACGTATTAATCGTTTTTGGGAGAGTATTAAGTTATTAAGGTGGCTTTTTGGACTATTTCCCCATAGTGTGATGCAGTAGGTTAGATAAGGGTAGATGAATGTGTAATAAAGCGTGTGTAGAGCAGAAAGAGAGAGTTTATATTTGATTTTGTAGAAGATGCCTGTGAGTTAGTTGATTTTGTCTGAGGTAGTTTTTTAGTGAGAATTCCATGAAAGATTTTCTGTGATGGTGATTCCAAGGAATTTGGTTGATAGGGTGCGGTTTATAGGAACGCCGTTAATTAATAGGTTTAGGTTAGGAGCTTGGTTGGTGAGTATTTTTGGGCCAAAAATAATGTATGCACATTTCGAATAATTTATGATTAGTTTGTTTTTGGATACCCAGTTAGAGTATTTTTGGAGTTCAAGATTGATAAGTTCAGAGCAATCTGGTAGGTTGTTGGAAGTGAAAAGAAGGTTGGTGTCGTCTGCGAACAGTACGCATTTGGTTGAGGGCGAAACGTTGCAGAGGTCATTTAAGTAGATTGAAAATAGAAGGGGTCCTAGTATGGATCCTTGTGGTACGCCGTGATGAATAGGAGCGTGCTTTGAATTGATGTTGGCCGTGGAAACATATTGTGTCCGTGATGAAAGATAGCTTCTCAATAGCTTCTCATCCAGTTGTGAGCTGTGCCTCTTACTCCGTAATGATGTAGTTTGGATAGGAGTATTTTGTGATCGATGACATCGAAGGCTTTGGATAAGTTCAGAAAAATGCCAATAAAAAGATTTTTGTTGTTCATTTCATTTAGTATAAGCTGAATGAAGTTAAGAATGGCAAGCTCAGTTGAGTGGTTGGGTCTGAATCCGTATTGGTTGTTGCAGATAGTATTGTTGGAGCAGAAGAAATTAGAGACTCTTTTAAAGAAAAGTTTTTCAAGAATTTTTGTCAGCGGGGAACGAATGGAGATGGGTCTGTAGTTGTTATTGTCATCTTTGTTTCCTTTCTTGAATACTGGTATGATTTTAGATATTTTAAATGAGTCAGGAAAGATTCCAGTGCTTAGTGATAAGTTGAAGATATGATTAGGTAGTGATATGATAGAGAAAATTATGCTTTTGATAATATATATATATATATATATATGTGTTATTATATGACCACCTGCAATCATATTGTATCGTATCGCTAAACTTGTACGGCGGATCTCATGAGATTTTTTTTAGATGCTTTGTGAAGTCGCTACGACTGATGTTGGTGAAATTCTTCAGATCAGCAGGTAATGTGGCGGCGTGATGACTCAATGGTTAAAAGCGCCTGGTCTTGCTATTGCAATGACTGGGTTCTAATACAAAGATATCCCCGCCTATCATATGCAATGTGTATTATGCGTGGTTTGCACGCGTATTCATATACGCTGTGTGTTTGTCGTTGAAACCTCTGAAAAAAAACGCAAGAGAGAGAAAGAGAAAAAGAGAGAGAGAGAGTAACCTTTAACGCGTTCCAAGTTTGGGCAGCTGAGACAGAAAATCTTTTTTTCCGAAAATATAAAGATTCAAATTTTAGAACTACGAGTTTACCGTGGTTGGATGATCGACGTCGAGTTTCTGAGACAGGTTGGATTTTTTTCATCAGGTTGGTTAGAGCATCTCCGGTCAAACAATCTTTTACAAATAAATTCATCTGCTTTTTATGTGTACTCAATGTAAGAAAATATAAAAAACCTTAGAGCTCTCGCGAATTCGACTTAATCGTCTCCAGAAGTACAATGTATATTTTGTAGATTTAGCATAAGGGAATTTTAAACTGAAATTGCCCTATCGTATCTGTCCCACTAGCGAAACAAGAGATGCAATGACCTTGTGCATTCATTATAATTGACGCACGGAGACTACGGAAGGTGATCATTTTACATTGTAAAAATAATTTAATATCGTAATTGCATCTAGGTCAACGTTCAAAACAAACGCTTAATTTCATTTTCTATATGTAATTTAATGTTTAGTATGCTCTTATCTTTAATCATTTGCTAGCAGAATTGGGTTTGAAAATTTAATGTTTTTCATTTCATCATATTAAATCATTTCTCAATCTGCCACTATCAGCATTAACAACATTTTATTATTGTAAGAAGGGACGGGCCATGAAACGGTTTACAGACCAAATTTAATACTTACCTACAGATTTCAGAACTAAATTTTTTTGTAGTTGCCTCTCAGAACCATCTGCAAGCAAAATTTAATATGGAGATCTATTATATAAATAAAATATATAATAAAAACACTTTTAACTGGAATGGGTTGTGACGCATCGATCACACTGTAAACCTAAAACAGCTCAGTAATACTTGTCAAAAGCGAAATAAACAAACTAGAAAAGGTTACTTGAACTTGAACTGCTTGTGGGGTTTTGGGCTAACCAACACCACTTTAAAAACAAATTTGTAAGTTGAACTAAACAAATTTTACCGACTCAGTCGTCGCCCAGAATCATAAATTCCGTGGCTGCAGTTAATCAATCTCAACTGTTGTTGAAAATTGGGCTAAAAGTCATACAAAAAATTGCCAATATTGAGTCTTATAATGTTAGAACAATCAGCAACACAACTTGCTCAACACTAGTCAAGATTGACTACATCTACATCCACATCATGGCAGTCCAGGAACATTGCTTGAACATAAAAGTCTACCAACTTCGTCAAGCCTAAAGAATGAACATTAATTAACACCAACTCAACACACAAAAGTCATTGAGCGGCATTATTATATAAAAAAAGAGTTGAAAACCAGGCTCTCAGTCTTCAATTTGTTTTAAATATTAAAAGATTTATTGTGTTAAATCTAGACAAAAATCTAAGGTTGTACGTCAATTCCGCTACGCAAACCAAAATGGCAGTGCCAGCAAAAAAAACAAAATCTATATCGATTTATTTTAATTCGATCTATTCCTGCTGCTATAACATAATCAAATTAACAACTGGTAACTTCAATGCTCTTCTTGGAAAGAACATTCACAAAATTTCACCTACCGGGTATTATAAGAAAAACTTATGGAATTTGCCAAAACCCTAGTCCCAACTCGCACATTCGCAATTTCTAAACAGGTTATCAAGATTGAAAATGTACTGCGGCCCAAAGAAAAACCATAAGTCTCATTCGTTAATTTTAAATTTTAACTGAAAGTGGAAAAAAACCAAAAAAGACAAAATAAAAATCTAATATTGACAAAATCATTTCTTTGCTCTTAATAAAATAGAACTTGATAACACAATTGATATCGATGTTTAAAAACATTACAGTACATTATGTCAGGCAGTAAAAGGAAAGAACTGAAAACAGATAAATGATAAACCCCTAAGTTGAGTGAAAAGAAACTTGAATGTTCTTGACAAGCAAAGCGATAATTTAGGAAAATCTTTATTACTGCTTTTTAGTAAACAAGATTAAATTTTAATGAAAATGAATTCAAAAGCAAATATCAACAAACTAGTTAAGAAGGTTACCTTGAACAATCAACTCGTCGATTTCTATGAAAAGCGTTAATACTGACCCACTTAAAAATCTAAAAATCGTCAACGTTACCAGAGTCAAATTATATGCAACATTAGGTAATTTGATGGCTTCATCCTAGTTAATGACAAACTTCTGAGGTATCTGCTAAATGTTAATTGTAGCTACAATTTGCATCAAAATTCGTATGTAGGTGCCAATCATCTGCCTCTACCTGTCATAAAATGCAGTAATTTAATACATTTTTATAAATTTTAAAATAGGTATTTAGATATTTGATTTTCGTAATTTTGGTTTTTATATTTATTTGTCCATCTTGTTTTGTGATATAAAAATCTTTCGACTATTGAACGATATTATTTTTGTTATATTATTTTGACTGTGAATAAACTGATTTACGTACTTCGAAAACGCACTTAAAGGTCGCGGCTTCACTGAAGAAAAAGATTGGTAGAATGCTCAAAAGCTTACTGATAGACGATACTTTATATACGTTGTACAAAAAATAAAAACTGTAGCGTTTTTTACGACAAATTAATATATCCTTCTTTTAAAATATAAATTCTGAAATTATACTAACGTTAATTAGAATATATGGAATCACAAAAAACATAAAATACATTATGATTAGAAAAGAAAAAAACGTATGCTACAAAAAATTCAAACCATGGCAATTAAATGAAATTTATTTGATCAAAGATCCTAAAAGTATTACGGAAAATTTTTATGTGGCATATATAACGATAATAAGGAAGATCCTATAAATATTATTATATAAGCCCATATATATTGAATCAAAATATGCATAAACCCAATTTCTTTCCGAACAACCAAATATTTAACGCTCTTGTTACGTTGTTTTTGTATATTTTGCAATGATTGGACGCTGTATGGTTTTAGGTAGCAGTAAATTTTAAACATTTAATATGAATGAGTTTTTGAATTTGTACCGCCAACGTCTGACAGTTTTAGGTGTTTTTAAAATCATTAGCAGCTAGCGAGTCAGAAAATAAATCTTATTTTTAAAAGTTTGTTTTTCTTTAACTTTTTTTTTAACTTAGCAACTATGGCTGATCGTGTCATGGATATATATATCCATGGATCGTGTACCCTACCGACCGCAGCAACTCAACAATCTCAATTCACAATGCGTAACGAAAGGAGATACCTACAGAAGAGTTGACAGCTCAGATGGCTGAAGTATATTATGTAGCTTAGTTTAACTTGTAATTAAGATATTTTAACAGCTATATCATAATGCATATTGTTATTGAAACTTGGAAAATGTTTTAACATTTTTTTTTGTAAAAAGAAATTCTCATAGCAAAAAGAACAATTAACACAATTGAATGTTGAAATTAATGATATAAATGTTTCATTAACTTGAAACAGTTAAATTTTTCATTAAAATGTTATTCAAAAGAATTCAAACATATCGGAATATTTGGTAATAATTAATTTAATTCACTTTAAATGATATAAAAAATTTTTAACGAGTCTTATATCTACAAGCTTCAGAGATTTGTTTGTAAATTAATAACAGTAATGCATATTATAAATGATCATCAGCATTACAAATTAGAAACTATCAAACGCAATGTCGTTCCCGCGACATTTGCAACCATCTACCCCCATTGCACTGAACAGGCTGAACTGGTTTGTTTCTTGTCTGCCCTTCCTGAAACAGTCGACTTCCCACTCTTTTGTTTTGAATTAGTCTGAAATTTTTATATTGCAAAAATGTTTTACCACGCTACAAAATATATTCTCCATTATATTGTGGGTTAAATATATTGTGAAATAATGTGGTTACAATATTTGGGTACAAAAATAATTTTGTGGATTAACATTCTGTTTATGAACAATCGCAACGGTTTGGTTTTAAAGCTCGTAGTTACTAAAATATAAAAATGGTCTCTAACAATGTTGAAGATAAAAAAAATACGAAGCAAACGAAATGAAGCACATTTACGACCATCATAACCATTCTCAGCCAAAAAAATTGTGCTCTGTCCATGGCACATCATGGGCCTGGTGTGCCTTTTAGCATCCATTCGTAACACATGTCCTGCTTATATTTCTCCAAAACCTGATCACCTCTGAGACATGTGTATATAGTCTAGGACTATGCTGGAGAGTTTCGGTGACAAATTACAACATGTTACTATTTAGTTGAACCATTCGGTTTTTTACCGCTGATCTTAACACAGTTCACCAAACCACTGTAGAAGCTGTTAATAACATTTTATAAATTCCTAAGACTTCTATAGTCATCTGTGTTCTTTGACTTTATATGAAGTCATGGACTTGAATGAAGTTTACAAAACATTTGTATAGTTTCTCTTTATATTCCGACCTCTTTCCCATTAACTGTCGCAAAGATAAACTTAGTTACACTTCTTGCTTTTCGGAAGTCACATTGGTTTTTTTATATTTTACCGACTTTATCTATAATTTTATTCAACATAATCTGTGTTATAACCTTACCAAATAGACTTAGTAGATTAAAACTTATTGAATTGTTAAAATCCATTTTATTTCTCTTTTTTTTTAATGGGGTTTATCATTGTTTTTTCAAGTACTTTGTGTAACCTGACTTTCCTAGAAGGGCCAGTATTCTTTAGCATTTCTTTAGAGTTGTTCACCATTTCTCATCTGCCTAAATAGCATTTTGCACTTCTTCTATAGAATATTTCATCACGATCACGATACGTCATCATCATTTATATTGTTTTCGCTATCCTTTAGTAATTTAATACGATTTCTTCTATTGCTTTCACTATTGGTTAGGTGTTTTGCGGTTGATCTTTGTTTAAATTTTGTCTTTCTCCATCTACAAGTTAATTAATTTTTGCCTGTACTTCTTCATACATTTTCCATGATGGCAAACAATTTTTTGTTGCTCTCTTATTATTCTCTTGTACAATTTTATGCATCTAATATTTTTAAATTATTGCTATATTTAATTTTGTGCTACTGAATATTGTGTATGAATTTACAGTTCTAATATTAAAAACTAAACAAACTAAATTCTTTCTTATTCAAAAAGCTGCTACTTTCATTTTTACCGCATTTGATGTGTTTAGGGTGTTTTGAACGTTAAATTGATTAATTAATCAAAGTTTTCTTACTGATCAATATTGGAAGTTACTTGTCCTATAAGTTGGTCTGAAGCAAATTCATTGGCGTTTGTGGATGTTAAAGTAATGTTGTCTGGACTTCGGGATGATCTGTTGTTGCCAGGCACTATGCAATCACAACATCTGTTAAAAATTCTTGCCAGTTAAAAATGCTATTTATTCAAAAATAGTACATTTTTACAAATTATTAAATGTAAGTCAAAGGTTTTTGTTGAACAAATTTTATTTGCTCTTAAAATAAATTACTTTTTTTATCGACGAAGTCAAAATTCAAATTTAATTTAAATCAGTTAATCAAATTAATGCTTTTTAAAAATTTCAAAGGTCATTTTTATTGATAATGAATATAACAAAACTCACCTCCGAACTACATCGATTCCTTGGTCAAAAAGTACGAAAATGATAGGATTTATGGCTGCGTTGGACCATGCGATGAACGTTAATAATTTGTAAATTTTACTCGGCTGCTGAAACTTTGGGTCTGATAACGTCAAAATGTAGAGAGGATACCAGGACAATATAAAAACGACAGTGATGATAATTAAAACTCTGCATCTTGCCAGTGTTTGTTGAAAAACTAGTTGAGCCGTCAGATGATCAGTTTCATCGACATTTCCCTGGCTTACCACGATGGAAGCTCGAACTAATGATGCTAGACGATGATTTGAATGAGTTTGAACATGTTTGTGGAAATAAATTAAATAATAAACAGTTCCTATCATTGATAATGTTGTTATAACAATCCACATTGTCTGAGCCACATAACTTTTCATCGTTCCATAAACAAAAATGCAATTTCCTATAAGGTCGTTGTAATTAAAATCTCCTCCTATTATTGTTGGACCAAGATGTATAATCAAGCTGGTAGCATAAACCATCAAAACACCAAACGCTACGCAACAAAAGTTTCCATTCTCTCCACTGCTATTGCTTGCGTTTTCTACGCCATAATTTCTCTCACTAAAAACATAAGCTTCGCAACAAACCATTGCGACAATATTGAAACCGGACGCAGTGACGACTACCACATAAGATCCTCCCAGCGCGGCACAAAACCCTGGCGCCATGTCCCACAACAAGCTGACTGCAAAAGGTACGCAGTACAAACATCTTACCGCGTCCAAAATGCAGCCGTGTATAACAAAAGCACTAGCTGATTTTCTCAAATTGCGGTTGATAAGCACACAGATGACAACGACAATATTCGATATGAGACCGATCGATGCAATGCACAGGAGAAATACTGCTTCGTTATAATTTTCTTGAGACACAGCTCTCGTTTCCACTTGTTCACTGCCATCGTGTTGTTTGTTGAATTGCGTGTCCGGTTCAACGTGAAGTGCTAAGGCTATTACATGAATGTTTGACGGTATTTCTGGTAAGTCGGAAACGGTGACGTTCATTGATTGGTGATTGACGAAACGCTAGCGTGCAGTGGCAGTGATTACTTCAAATTGCATAGACAAACGAGTCACATACATAGTTGTATTGTTGTTATTTAGTGATGAATTTAGAACGGTTTAAGCTGTTGGTTTGATGTATTCTGAAGGCACTTGCTACTTTTGTAAGTCCAAAATGTTTTGTTTGAAAGTTCCAAATCTATAATGATTTTAAATAATTATGGGAACATGACAAATAAAACAAACAAAAAAATGTTAAGACAACTCGCATTTTAACTGATTATTGTTTAAAATACAAATATTAATGATTTTTTTAATATCGTCTTAGTAGTGACACCTAATAATTGAAAATAGAACGCAACTGGCAATTTATTTATCTATTTAAAAAATAAAAAAGGTCAACGAATAAATAATAAATATGTGAGCTTTACCTCAAATTAAATCGTCAGCTTCAAATAAATTTTCGAAAAAAAGTAGCATGACATAAAAGCGTGTTCATTTGGATTTTTAAAAAAATAAGCAAATGATTCCAATTTTTCGATCAATGAGTGGTTGAGGGTTTGCTAAATAATGACGTCACCATCTGATTGAACTGGATTTCCTGTAGATGTGGGAGGCTGGTGCCAGGTGGAAGTAAAGAGTGCATTGATTCCGAATAAATTATATAGAACTTGTTTTTATTTGTTTTGTTTTACTTTTTATTGGTCTTAAACCTGTAAATTTTTTACGTTTGTTATGTTTCTGTTTCATTAAAATATTTTATAATTGTCATTTATCATTAATTTAATATTTGGTTTCAAATTTGTTTTTTCACTGTAAAATTTTTGTTTTTAAATTTTGTTTTGTTTGTTTGATTCGCTGATTTATTGGTTTTAAATACCATGCTTGTTTTACGTTATTAAAAATTTAGATTTTAGAACACAATCAAGCTTTTAATTTATTTTGAATCCGTTTTGAAATTAAAATTTCATCCAATAACTGCAATACATCAACACAGAACATATACAACACACGCAAATTATCATTCACCAACACCTACATAACAAAAAACACACGCATGTACAAAGGCGATCAAACACAAACAGCCGAATAATCTAATTAAACACGCGTGTACAGAGGCGAACAAACACCAACACCCACATAACAAACATCGCACACGTGCATGCAAGCGAACAAGTCTCGCGAAATGAAGGGCACGGTAAGAGGGATTTCAGCGTCCGAACCAAACCAATGAAGCAGATCATCAGGCAGCTGATGTTCTTCATAAAAACAGAAAACTGAGACAAACAGCTATAGTATTTGTTCGCCGACTTTGTTTGCGACAGCACAGTAGCGATGTGGTGGACGATCCCGCAATTTGGATGCCAAACAAACATCTGTGTTCCCCATCAATGTTCTGAGATGTTGTCACAAAGGGAAGAACATCGAAGTAACGGTGAGTAGTATATAATCTAAATATTTGTATCGCGCCCGTTATAATATTGTATTAAATATCATAAGATTCTAAAACTAAATTACGACAGCTATGGGAAGGTCCCCTAACGTGCAAGGTTGACGAGGCTGATATCAAAATGGAATTCTTTTCACACACGCACACACATATATAATCGTTACAGTGATATCTTAATTTTTTGAATTGTTCTAGGGTTGAATTGTTACAGTTTTTTCGCAGCCAGACAATTATTTCTACGTTTAACTTTATTTTAGTGAGGACATGTTTAAAATTATGTTTAATTTTGTGTTATTTTATTTTTTGATGGCTCTTTTGAATTTTAACTAACTAGCGGTAGATAAATCTTTTGATGATAATATATATATATATATATATATATGTGTGTGTGTGTGTGTGTGTGTGTACGTGTGTGTTTGTGTGTTGGAAGGGGACCATATTTTGTACAGTTTTGTATGAATTCTACAGAATTGTTGGCATAAATCAATTTAAAGTTTATCTTTTCAATTTTCTTTAATTGAAAATAGAATTATTAGGAAATTTCATGCCAGGAATCAATGGTTGCCTGAGCAGTCACGCATCATTGAGTCACGCAAAGGAACATGCAACTTTTGTCTCCATCGTTTGCTCGTCGTTGTCCCGAGCATTTAAATAGTAATCTAAACATTAGATTTTTCACCGCAGTTAAGTTTAAAACTTATTTGATAACATGAAATTAAATAATTCAAGCTGTTAACTGCAAATGTACTAGCAATGGTAACAAAATAAATTATTCATCATCTACAGTAGGATGTTTTTATCTTCTAACTTTGCAACTAACTTTAGTGAGCTATTAGTTTTGTACCCTTTAGTTTTTTTCGAAAACAGTTTAGTTAGTATTTTTTTATTTATATTTATGCAAACAGCTCTAAACGTAAATAAATTTGCCTATCATATTAGAGTTAATTAAGAATAATTCTATCTTTAAAATGGATTTGTCATTTATTCAGTTTACATGTATTTTTAGCAAGATTTTTGTTACATTGTTAGAAAAAAAATTATGTAATATCATTATTTTTATTTATTGTATAATATTATTTTAAATTGTTTCTTTTTTTAAATCTTCCTCAATTAATGTTTACAATTACTTCTATTTTCCAGTAACATCATATTACATTTAATAAAGCAAATAAAGCTAACGAAAGTTAAAGGAAAATTTTTATTTCATTCCGAAATTTTTGCCAGCAATAGCTATGAGAAAAATAACATTTGCATGTCATTTCATTCGTCCCATATATTCTATTAATTTTCTATCATAAATCTTAAAAGAGCGTTTCGAGATTTTTAGTAAAGCTTGTTCTTCTTGTACTGAATGCGAACACTCTAGCAGATCAATTTTGTATTCCCCCGTGATTGTGATAAAAACTTGTGACCAACCTAAGTGCAGTGCCCATTGTATGTGGTGGGTCGGTGATATGCACGAGTCTCAACTCCATTCCACCTCTTTAAATCCAATCTCATTTGTCTTCTTACCTATCCATGACATCCATTCAAATGTTTTTTTTACTACTACTGCACCACCTTATCTTTTCATTTTAATGTTCACAACACGTTAAATTGCAAAATTGTTCAAAAAAAGTTATTTCAAATATGACTTGCATCGTTTAAATCTTCTTTTTTGTCACACAATTTTGTAGGATGCCATAAAAAATTTACACAAAAAGTATACAAAAAATATATAACACATGAATTCAATACATCAGATTAAGAATTATAAATCACAGACATATTAATTCATTAAACAACCTGTCACTAACCAACCATAACGCAAAATTGTTTTTATATGAGTTTGTTTTTACGGAGCTTTTTTGAAAAGTCATCCGCTAATTTATTATAATTAAAATAATTACAATTTTTCATTAAATCTGATACAATAACCAAGAGTTCTAGAAAGTTGATACGATAACGGGTATTTTGTTCTGACTTCTTTCTTACTACTAAACTGTTTGTAGAGTACGCACTCCTCTTCACCCTCTGTGATAGGCACAGTCCAAAAATGAATTACCATTTAAACATTTTCGGAAGTTGAATATAAATTTACTTATCTTACAATTCTGAATAACTCACTAGTATATGTTTGGTTATAAATAATTTATAATGCATTTATTCATCTGCCAAACCCGTGTTTAAATCTGAAAAATAAGCTGCAGCTAACTAATCAATCAATTAGTTTATAAAGCGCTGTTTCCGCGGTGTTCAACAGCGCTCCTCGATGAATTTTGCAAACAGATGGGTTTTGAGATCCGCTCTGAATTTTGTAAGTGATGGAAAAGGAGGTAGAGAGTTCCAGAAAAAAGGGCCAAAAAATACAAAAGCAGATTTAGCAAAACAGTGTTTAACACGAGTAAAGAAAAAGTGAGAACAAGAAGACGATCGTAAACCGGGGCATTTAGGTTCATTTATATATCTGATAAGTACTTAGGAAATAATTTAGATAGATACTTATTCATAAATGTGCAAATTTTAAAAATTTTAATAAGTTAGTTTGCAAAAACATTAAAATGCTCAGTTGTAAGTTTGTATGCATTCAAACAATGGTTAAGATAGAACACAAGTTATTCAATGACGATATTGAAAAATTCAAACTAAATTTTGTTCGTTCTCTACCTGAATCTGTCCAAATATCAAAAATAACGTTGCGCCACAGCTGCCCATTCAAACATCTAAAATTTATTTTACCTGCTACTATTTAAGTTTATTTTATCTGCTACTATTAAGTTTAATGAAAAAAAGATATGTAGCTGTATATTACATGTTTTGTACAGCTAAAGTCTTATTTTAAAACCTGTCAAATGTTGTGAAGCAGAAGCTTTTTGTGGAATTCCTATCAGCGTGTCCACTAATTGGCCATTGAATGCTTCACATCGAGTTACACCTTTTTCTGTATCTTTAGACACCTTTCAATGTCTCTCAGTTTTACATAATATTTTCAAAGATTTTAGTGACTCAACCCGTGAGCTCCATATCTTACTGATTTTTGAATTGATTTAATATCACCAGAAAAAACCTCGTGATTAAAAATGTTCTAATGGTATATCTACGTGATCAGGGCATCCTAAAGACAAGTTGTCCTCTTTTCTAAGCCTCTATAACCAGAAGTCAATGTTAGAGAAGTGCTACGATGCCTCATCCATTTTTATCCCAAATGCAAAGCATAGCTGGAGGCATCAAGATGCTCTAAAAGGGTTAGGTTTCTAACAGTCAGAGAGTTTATTAGTATTGCAAAACATCTTAGACTATGGCACACCAGGCTTTTTAAACTTTGTGGCCAGTCAGTAAACCAACCTTGGTTCAATATGTTCAAACAATCACCGGTATGGCAAAGCATGACAAAACATCTTGCGGCAGAACACACGCCCTACTTTCAAAAAGCGTCTCCTGATTAATTTTAAATTGTCGGAATTGTAATCATTTACTTAAAGTGTTATCAGTAATCATTTAAATTTAAATTGAATTGTACATTTTCAATATATACATTACTGTTTTATTAATTTTTAATATTATTAATTCAATAACCATTGAAAATACTTTACA